GCCTGGTCTTGCAGCCAATTAGCCCCAAATAAACACACAAAGACATATTAATCTATAAACTGTGTGGCTGAAGGCTAGGGCTTCTTACTGGTTAGCTCTCTCTTAATTATTAACCCATTTCTATTAATCTAAATATTTTCACGTGGTCTTAGGTTTTCAGAGAAGGGTCTGGACCTGTTGTTACTCCTCCTTCTGCTACATGGCAACTTTTGGTGGTTCCTCTCTGCCTTTCTCTCCCCAGCCTTCTTCTGGTCTGGTTGGCCAGCCTATGCTTCTTGGCCAATCAGTGTTTTAATTATCAATCAGTAAGAGAAACATATATATAGAAGGACATCCCCCCCCCCTCTCTCTCACACACACACACACACACTGGAGTGGTAGTTCTATAAACAGTTTTTTCTTTACCACATGGGAAAGAAAAAAATTCAAATTTCATCTTAAGGCAAACATAGTTGGCCTGTATCTACTAAATTTATTTTATACCTCATGAACAAACCATTACTGACTATTTGAAAACCAAGACAAACAAACAATAAAAAAAGAAATGTTCTATGACAGAAAAAAAATTTCCTATCCTCAAACTGTTAAACTTTTCTAGAATCTGAAGGAATAAAAATGATGGGATGGACCACTCTCCCTGATGAATGTCAGTCAATGGAGACAGGAACAATGTGTCAAGCATGGTCATGCAGGAGTATCTGGCCACTTCTGGAAGAAAATGACAGTAATTCTCATGTCAACAAGTTCATGGAGGAATTTGAAATGGCTTAGGGAGGTAGTACCTGAGGAGATTCTTCTAGAATGGATAAAAACTGTGATAGAAGACAATTGATATCATGGCTTAGAGACAAGAATAAGAAGAATAAAGACAGGGCCAAGAGAGGGCATAGAGTGTAGGAGGAAGGGCACTGGGCAGGGGTTGAGGCTGAAAAGGCAAAAAGGTGACATCAGAATGTATTTAACCCCAGAACAGAGTTTGGACAGAATTCAAGGTAAAACAGGAAGGCCTACTCAAATGGAAGGAGGACATGAATGGATACACTTCACAAATGTCTATACCCTCGGGACCCATCTCAGTTCAGACAGAACATATACAGGACATCCACATTTCCCCATGCACATTGTCTCACAGCTATCCCATGTCTCTCCACTCCACTATATTTTCCTCTACTCTATCTATACCATAGATCCCAGAATTCCACTTTGTCCAGGTGCATTCACCACATGCTTACCTTGGACTTCTGGGTAGAGGGCCATGTAGAGCAGAGCCCAGCGCAGTGTGGTGGATGTTGTCTCTGTTCCAGCAAAGAAGAGGTCTAGAGTGCTGCAGATGAGGTTTTCTTCATTGAAACTTGTAGTAGTCTTATCTGGGTACTGTAGAAGAGAGTGTGTACTTGCTTAGGGAGAAGGTTTGTGATTATCTCAATACAATCTCAATACACGGGTTCTGGTGCTGGGGAGCCAATGTAGAAGCAGTCATTTAAAGTTATATTCCTCTCGACTTTCTCAGCATGTAGGTATATCATGAGCCATATCATGTCCCCAGTGCAAGGAGACAGACATAGTAGGTCTTCTTTTACCCTGGGGAATGAGTTCAGAAGGACTCATTTGAAATGATACTACTTTGATCTCCTTAGGAAGGATTTTCCTGCTCCAAGTACTGGAGGCTGACCAAGAGCTTCTGGTACTCAGGTGGATGAATATCAAGACAACTATTTTCTTGTGACTATATTTTTGAAACACTTTTAACAAGATGGTAACACTACAGGATAAACACACACACATATTTGGCTTCCAGTATTGGCCACATTGTTAAGTCAAAATCTGATCTAAGAGCTTACTTTACATTTTTATCTGCTTCAGTTTGTAAAATGAGAAAAAATATACATATTTTAACATGTCACATCAACTCTAAAACCTTGCTGATTCCATCAGTTATTCTTTGGGATATAATTCCATCTTTACTAACTTCCTCTAGAAACATCACTCTTTACATTGCTCATAATGTTGGTGGTCTCACAACTGCACTCTATCTGGTGAATAATTTGCCCTTTTTTTCTGGGGATACAATGTTGCTTCTATTGATACTATACCAGGAAGATGAACTATGATAGAACAGGGGAAGAGATTTTCTATCGTGCCCCTGGGCAGAGAAGGAATCCATAATCTAATGAGTCAAAGTTCATAGGAAGGATTCAGTGATGTGTATTTTCCATGACTCTATTGAGATCAGAGCATTAAAAATAGTGTTATAGTTGGAATCTAAACTAATCCCTACAGGTTCAAGTTTGAATCCTTGGTTCCTTGTTGCTGGTACTATTTTAGGATATTCTAGAACATTGGCGGGTGGGGGCCAGCTGGAGTAAGTCAAGCCCTAGAAGTGGGATTCCTATGGCTGTATCAAAGCTCTGGATCCTGGCTAGTGTTTGCTTCCTGGTCTACCCTGACGTAAACAGGCTCCACCACATCCTTTTCCCATCCATGCTGTTTCATGATGGACAAATACTCCTTGAAAATGTGAGACAAAATAAACCATCAACCTCTTAAATTGTTTCTGCCTGTTGCTGTCACAGATGGAAAAGTATCAAATACATCCACTCAGCTGCTTTCTGCCTGCTTGTGTATGACTGGATGATGTTTATAAGAGGTCTTGGGGAGGCAGATGCACCACCCAGACTTTAAAGCTGAACTCCAGCATTAAGTTGAAATTTGCCTGTGTCTTGCAGTTGGGGCTGAGAGGGAGTGAATAATTGGCCTTATTCCAACTCATCAAAAACAGAGCTCTGATATCTAATTGCTACTTTCCCTTTGTATATAATTCCTTCATAAATAAAGGATAAAAGGTAAGGCAGGGCATGAAAGGAAAGTATCTGCCATTTACAGGCAGGGAACCCTTTATTTCTAATGACACTCCTAAGTTAATATTATTACGAATTTTCACTCCCATGGTGTATGTGAAGCATTGATGTACAAAGATGTCTATATTTTCATTTTTGAAACCTTTACATGCTACTTGATAATCTAAAATAGGAACAGGCTTAGTAGATTCGATTAATTTGAGAGGGAACAATTGCCCTGCACCATCCTTATGAGAATGTGCTTGAGGGTCACAACCAAATAAATCAGAGGAAAAGAGATATTACAGTTTGAGAACTGACTATAGAGGCAGAAACCACAGCAAAAGATAGCAGTGCCTTTGTAGCCAGGTCCAGTGGTGCTTGTCTTTAATCCCAGAACTCAAGAGGCAGAGGCAGGTAGATCTCTGTGAGTTCAAAGCTAGTCTGGTGTACAGAATGAGTTCCAGGACAGTATTTTACTTTAAGACTATCAGTAATGGATGCCTGAATATCCAGTAAATTTCTAATTTTATTTTGATGAATGTCTAATGAAGAAGCTCTGGAAACAACTGAAAATTTGGTTTAAGCTAAATGACTCCCTGCTGGCAATAGGAACAACCCAGGCTTTGTCCTTGAACTTGAGAAGGATCCAAAGGTTAAGTTCTGAGGTAAATAATTTTTCCATTTTTAGGTTATTTGGTTTTTAGTTTTTCAAGACATGGTTTCTCTGTGCAACCTTAGCTATCCTGGAACTAGTTCTGTAGATCAGACTGGCCTCAAACTCACAGAAATCCACCTGCCTCTGCCTCTAGAGTGCTGTCATTAAAGGTGTGTGCCACCACTTCCCTGTGTCTTTTTCATTTTCATCAGCTTTGCCTATGTATATCTCTAGTTCATCAGAATTATATCAATAAGTTTTATATTGTTACCAACCAAGTAAAGATCAGTGAGTCAATTGAACTCTGGATCTCTAGCCTTATAATTCTTAAATATGTGAATTTTGTCTGCAATTGTTTCATGTCGATTAAATGACCCAGATGATGTCTCAGGAGAAGTCATAAGACAGGGTATGTTTTTCACTGTGCAACATTGGGTCATTAAGAAGTAATTTAAAAGGGGATAAAAGGAAGATAGGCCATGGCTGGAGTGACAGTTCAGTGGGAAGGTCGTTCTTCCAGATGATCTGGGTTCTATTCTCAGCACCCACATGGCTGCTCACAACTGTCTGTAACTCCCATTCCAAAGCCCTCTTCTGGCCTCTGTGGGCAACAGGCATACATGCAATGCATAGACATACATTTAGGCAAAATATTCATATACATAAAAAGTAAAATAATTTTAAAAATATAAGCTAGTCCAGAAGGCTTAAACAGGATTTAAGACGGAACTAATAGAAAAATGAAGAACAATGGATTAAGATATAAGACATAATGTTTAAGTAAAGCAATAGGACAGGACATTAATAGTAGGAATGAAATCTCCAAGTGTAGTGTAAAGAAACAAGGATCAGCAGAGGGAACGTTTAGAAGAAAGAGAAATTTCATTCCAAGGATTAGTGAGACCAGACACTGAGCAATGAAGAGAAACTTGAGAAAGATTTCACCATAATAAAGTTCTTAAATTTAAGAAGGAACAAAACAAGTCACCCAGAAAGAAAATGAAAAAATATCAATTAACTTTGCCATAAAGAGTAGGCAAGAAGGTTATTAGTCTGTTAAAGTACCATATTGTCTTGAAGAAGAAGGAGGAGGAAGAAGAGGAGGAGGAGGAGGAGGAAGAGGAGGAGGAGGAAGAAGAAGAAGAAGAAGAAGAAGAAGAAGAAGAAGAAGAAGAAGAAGAAGAAGAAGAAGAAGAAGAAGGAAAAGGAGCAGCAGCATCTTCCCCACCTTTGCCATTTCCTTGAGGAAAGCATCAATGAAGTCTCTTGGCTCATCAGGGTTCCAGTCTTTCCGGTGATTGTCGATCACAGAAGAAACAAACAATTTCAGTTTTCCCCAGTTTCTGAAAACTGTTTGGTGTGAGCCAGGAAGATATTTCATTACCCATGGAAAAATATTGTAGAGCTGATTGGGAAAAATAAGACAGTCATGGAGACACTATGGTGCCACTTGACTATGTTTCAAGATGTACAGTCTTGTCTTTTTGTTTTTTACTGTGAAAATGTGGGACCAGTTTTTTTTTTCCCTCTCACCTAACGCAAAAACATTTCAACTCTGCTGTAAATGTATATTGAGCCTCTAGTAAAGCCACTTCTTACTAGATTAACCTCCTGTTAAAGTCTTCACACTGCCACCTCTTTCTGGATGTTGGGACAACATTCAATATGTTTATTGGTTATACTATCAATGCCATTGCAACTTATTTTGTGTAAGTTTCCATAGAGAATATTTATTAATGTAACCACATGCTTGACTCTGTGACTTTTAATATTCAAGGGCTGTCCCTAGTCTTAAAGTCAGACATAGTGCTTTTTACCTGTAAGTGCTACAGGGATGGAACTCCCAGATCTCTTTCATTGCCCCAGTTTTTCTAGGCATTCCAACCACAGTAGCCTCTGAGACCAAACGAGGGCATTTCCGCATTAGGCCCTTGTGGGTGCTATTCTTTGAGCCTTAAAAAAACACCTTTGAAATTATTATAACCCTGTCTATCACATGCCTTCATGAAGGTACAGCTCAAGTTTCTTTGGAGATTCTTTACTTGATTATTCTTAAAGTGACAGGCATTTATTTTTTTCATCTTTCTAGTTCTCTGTCATGACTTATTTTCCCTTGGGGAAATCATCAGTAATATGTATTTTGCATGTAACTGTACATCTCCATATGGTAAGACTACAATCTTTCATGAAGTAAAGTGGATGGTGAGTGATGTTTCAATAAAATTTGTGGTGAAGAGATAGCATACCACCATGCAAAATCAATGAGATTTAAAGTGAGGCAGACATACATGTGATTTTTACCTCTGCTGTTTCATAGTTACAATAAATTGTAACAGTTACAATAACAATATTAATAAAGTTAATAGTATTGAAAATTAGTTTTGATAATACATTGTGATAATGAGGTATTCCTGTATCTGAACACTGAATGGCATAAGAGACACAAAGCATTCCCAGAGGTCTGGTTGATTACTATCTATATTTGCTTGCACAACTCTTTGTACTTGCTTGCAGACATCAGATTGCATCATTTTACATGTAGAAGATCATAGTGAAAAATCAATGGACTTGGTCAATCAAAGTACCTGATGTAATCTGTCATTTGAGTCTATTATCACTTTCTGCCACCTCTTTGCTCCCTTCTAAGATTTTCCCCCTTGATACCCACACCTAGTAGTGAGCCTGGTACTCACCGGACTTCCCTGACTTCCTAGGCTCTGCTTGCTGGAAGTAAAACAATGTAACTGCTAGGCTTGAACTACCATGACTGAGAGTTAAAAAACAGAACACAAAATAATGAAGGCAATAAGTGTACTTAATCCCATTCTTTATACCTATATTCAGACCTATAAGTCACACTAATTAATTCCTCAATTTTTAGTGAGGGCATCCCAGAAATTGAGGAGAAAATGGATGTGGAGATAAGTAAGAATAAATCCACCTTTGGGTGCATAATAGAGAAGTTGATGCATAGAAACAGAAGGTCATAAAGAGAAGATAAACTTTTGAATCTTTGCTTCAGATTCATTCTCTCTGGAACCATTATGTATCCAAGGTATGGTAAAGTTAAAACCTCCACAACTGCTACCTCCACACACTCCAGAAGAGATGTCTAAGGAAGCATAAAGTGTAGCACAGAAATACAAGAAATATGGAAACACAAGCCAGGAGGATGCCACCAAAAATCACAAACTCCTGAACCAATCAGCTCAAAGATACTGAAACAAGAACAATGCTACATAGAAGTTGCAAAAGTTTTCTAGTAAAAATGATCCATGACTTGCAGGATATAAACAAGCAGGTGAATTTAGTACAGGACCTGGAGAAGAAAGTCTATAATAGAAAGGGAAAAGTCAGCAAAATGGGTGAGAAAATCAGCAATGTGGTTGAAAAGATCAGCAAAATGGAAGACACATGCAGCAAGGGAACTGGGGTTTTGATTTAAAAATGGAAATATTGAAAATTAATAGCTGAATGAGTAAAAAAACACACAATAAAAATCATCACCAACAGACTAAACTACGCAGAAGACTATCAGGAATGGAGCATAATGTTGAAGACACACTTCTTTCAAAAACCCATTAGGGAAAATAATGAGCATGACCATAATGTCTAAGAACTCAGGGATACAATCAGAAAATTGACCTAGGTAGCCATAGGATCCGAAGGTCACAGATAAGAAACCAAGGATCTGGGATAAACAATAAGTGTACAGAGACTCATTTCAATGAATTTATAGCAGGGATTTCCCCAAATCTAGAGAAAGAAATAGATTTTCAAATGCAAGAAGTATTTAGACCCTTAAAATGAACAGACCAGAGGAAATCACCTTTATGATATGTTAAAGATGCCAAAATTACAAAAGGTGTAAGGAAAAACATCAACTCACATGCAGAGTCATAAAAATTAGAATATCAAATTGCTCATCATCAGTCCCCAAGCCAAGAAAACATGAGATGGCACAGTTTATGCTTTGGAAGTAAGTAACTGTCAACCATGAACCCTATATCCAAAATTGCTATCTTATAAAATTGATGCAGAAACAAGTGTATTTCATGAAAAGTACAAACCAAGGCAATTCAGGAGCACTAAGCCAGCAATAGTGATGGTGCTTAAAGAAGTGTTATACACAGAATAAAAAATCCAATTATGAAAACATAGGAAAAATAAATTTCATGAGAAGAATGGTTGAGTAGATGACAGCTAGAGAAGAATCTATTGTGTCCAACACAAAAAACAAGCAACCCCTAGTAGTAATAGGGAATAAAGTAAAGTATGAATAATCTAGCCAAGAAGAAAAAACAGCAAAATCACAGTATTCAGTTGGCATGGTTCATTAATCATCTTAAATGTGACTCCAACAAGCCAAAAGGAGACACAGAGTAGCTGATCAAATTAAAAACCTAAATCAAAGTTTGTGTTGTCTGTATGAAACACATCTTACTGGTAAGGATAACCACAAATTAAGAGTCAAAGAAAGGAAAACAATTTATAAAGTAAACAGAAATAGAAGAAGCTGACACAACTATTCTGATATCTGATAAAACAGATTTTAAATCCAAAGAGTCAGAAGCAATAATGATATTACATAGGGGGAACAATTAATAAACCATAACAATTGTAAATAATAAGGTATGCACACATTCCTTTAATTCCTGATACACACATGTTGGAAGGAGAGAACTGACTGCTGAAAGTTGTTCTCTGACTTGTGCGCCCCCACACATGTAAAAAATGTGTACATGTGCATGCACACATACTAAACACGATGCTATGAAAATGTTTTAAAAACACACAAACATCCACACAAATCACACCAAGGTAGTGAGGGGACTACTGCAGCAGGCCTAGCAGAAGGAAAACCAGTCAGATAAAAATCAAGTACTTGTGGTTAATTTCACTTTACAACTGTCTTCCGTATTCATGGGTATGGCTTTCATGCCAACAAGCCTGTGGAGAGTGTTTGAGTGGCTATAAGGAGTACACATGGAAAATGGGGCATAGTTGGAGGTGACATATGTACCTTGAAGGTTTATAATTTCTAGTATTAGACTGATAGTGTCATGTTGATGGGTATAGAGACAGTACACACTTCTAAATCTTTAATTATCTTATAGGTCCAGATGCAAATATAAGACAAATGAGTGTGTCACATAGACACTGATATGGAACTGTTATTGATAATACACTAAACCTAGGAAAACTCATTTATCTAACTGTGGATAAAACAACAACACATTCAGCCAGTGTACTGCTAGTCTGCAGATAACAAGGAACCATGTACAAAGAAGAATATTGACACAAGGTGATGTGCTAGAAATTTCCTTCAGAAGGTGACTCTGAGGCAGGAAGAGCATGGGAAAAAAGAGTTCAAGTCAACAACAACAACATTTCCATTCTCTAAAAGACACCAGCATTCCCATATGCATGTATATAGACCAATATAAATATTAAAATAGCTCACACAAATGATAGATATGTTTTGTATATATTCAGTTTCTTATATTAACAAAAACATAAAAGTTGAGGTGGATTTGAAATATAGTTGCATCAAGCTCAATATTAAAAATATTACATAATAGCTTCAAAATGCCCTACCCTTTAAATATACGCAAAGAAGAGTGCTTACCTGGCACATTAATGACGCCTCCAAACATGTAGCCTCATCCAGTAGCCTCAGCATCTCCTGAAACTGACTGTCATGATACTCAAAGCGCTCTCCAAAGGTGACAGAGCAAATGATGTTGGAAACTGCATTATTGATACTGAAGTGAGGGTTAAAAGGCTGTCCTGGAGGTAGAGAGAGGGAGAGATGGGTCTTCCAAGGTTATCTATTTGTTTCTATTTCCTATATTAAATTAACTTGATATGACAAATAAACACATATTGCAAAGAACCATGTAAAAGGCTCTGGTCAGAGCACACTACATAGGGCCTGGCATGCTCCAAGGATTCTGCTAATGTGTGGGAAGCCATACTGATGACCAGGTCTTAAGTGAAGCCGTATGTCTAATGACCATGTATGTGCTTAGCTGCAGAAGTCTCAGGGCAGGGTCATGACCAGATGTTAACTACTCAATACTCAGTGTCTGCCACAGTGAAGGTCCAGTACAAGCACTTAGACACTCAGGAAGAATCTGTTCAATGAATGAAAGGGCCACAGCCTCCCACACCTGCCCTATAAAATGCCCACCTCCCTCCACTTTTATGGCCTCTACAAGGTATCGGGCTTCCTCCTGCATGCGCTGCTCTAAACTCTTCTTTCCTAATCCAAAGTTCCTCAGTGTCATCAGGGCGAATCTTCTTTGTTCCTTCCATGTCTGGCCACTGGAGAAGACCAATCCTGGAAAGAAGAGATTCAGCATTACGACATTGAAATTCTCATCTAAAATTACCAGATGAACCCTATGGACATATGTGTGATGGAAATGAGAAGAGGCAATAAGAGGCCTGGTAGCTGTCTAGAGAGAATAACCAAAAGCAAGAAGCATGATGGCTAACATGTCCTGGTGATCTGCAATATCACACCTGATATTTCTGATGAATTATGTAATCCATTTCTCTTAGGAATTCTGCATGTTTATTACCAAGCAGCAACAGATCCATTCTCACAAAGAAATGAGGAACACATAATAAACTTTTCAAGGGGGCACAGTTTTTTTGACAACCGTGTATTCAAATTCACATCACCTTGGTTCCAATGCTAACACAAAAATCTACTTAGTTGTGTTAAGTTGATTAGCAGAAATGGACTAAAGGATATGATAAGACAATGAATATAAATTAAAGAGGTAAGAAGCTGTATAAGAGAGTTCTTAGTCAACACAAGATTTAAAAGATGAAAAAATAAATCAATACAGTAAGAAGTATCAGTATTCCACACAGAAGAACAAGAGAAAAACATTCCAGTATGTTCAGCATTTACCACCTATTTCATGGCACATGCAATGCCACGTGCAAATCCATTTCTTAACTTGCAAAGAAATCCTCAACTCTTTAAAGATAAGCCTTGGTCTCTCTGATCCCCACACATCATTGGGAGGCCATTTCTTCATCACCAGCCTGGTCATACAGCAACTCAGAGCCTTCCTGAAACCATTTCCCAGTGTCACCTGGGATCCTGCCATTCCAAATTTTCACCCTAATTCTTTGCCACAAATTTCCCACAACTTTTGCCAGTTTGTTTTCTTCTGCCAACTTTTGAAACATTGGAGTTTTTCAAGGCTCTCTACTTACTCCATATTCTACTTTAGGAAATCTTATCATTTCTACAATTGAAATATTCTCTTCTGACAGTTGCAGAAGGTGTTCACCCCAGAACCATCTACATGACTACTTGACTTTGCCAATTACAGGAATTTAGACTCAGCACATTGGGGAAAGAAATTAGTATTGATTCCTGAAACTCCCAAAAGAAGATAGCACCACACAACTAACTTGTCACTTGTCATTGTTCCTCTTTGCAGCACCTATTTCCTGTGGAAGCCACTCCCCTGGCAGTCCCCCAAAAGACTTTTTCTTCTGCCATCTAATCTAGGTTATATGTCATGTTGTCTCTCTCTTGAATGACCTCAGTCCATGTGTCTTCAATGTCATCATCCTGGTCTAATCAACTGTCATTTCTTGACTGAATTTTCAGAATCCCACCTTTCTAACCTACAGTGATAATTTCATGCTATTTTCTAATTGAGAGCCTAAATGAGCCTCAGAAAGTACAGTGTGTGGTCTTCTCTACTCAACGTCACACTTGCTGTTAGGATGAAAAGCAAGATACAAGCCAAGGTCATCAGTTTATATTCATTTAATTACCCTTTACATACTATGCTTGTCACACAAGACATCTTTCAGTTTCTTGAAGCCCTAGTTTTTCTTGTTATTTCATGGGTATTCTGCTCCTGTTGTCTATTTTTCAATGTTATTAAATGAATGTCCTTACTTACAGAAGGGTTTCCTGAATTCCAGTAGAACTTTGATATGACTGATAAATGCTTCCCCTCTTACCATTGTAGTCCTGTGTGATTTTTCAATTAGTTAATTGACAGCATTTTTCATTTGGTGGAGTATATGTTATGTAAAGATGGAGATTTTATCTATTATATGAACTATTAATCACTTATGCCTAGCACTGTGCTTCCTATAACAAATAACATAGTTAATTTTGTACAATTAATGATTGATTGCTTCAAGGAGTAATTAGGAAATGTCTAAAACTGATGCTTTGATAGGTTAATACACTTGAAATTCTGCCTTCCATTTTGGATCATGCAACTTGATTTAATGACAATACTGAGTATTCATGTTATTCTAGTCTAACCCTGTCTAGAAGGCTGTAGATCCCAATATTGTATAGCTTTGATAATGGAGTATGAAAAGCCATAAGCAAGAAGAGCATCAGCAAGAGGAGGATGACTTTACACCTATATTCCTAGGACAGAGGGTGGCATGAGAAAAAAGAAGTAAGAACACAGCATGTTTGGCTGTGGCTGGATGCTGTAGTTCCTTCTCACCAACACGTTTAGAAATCATTGTCACAGACATGTGGTTTCTCTTGATGTTCATTAGGATGGCACTCTTAAGTCCTCTGATGGTGCTTTCATTCAGGAAATTGGACATCCTGCTTCCTTTAAATATGCCAATTCATAATGGGATTGGTTTATGGGGATGTTGGAAAATTAGATACTGGCACCTGTAACACACCATAAACACTATAATATGCATTCCATGGTGTCAATAAACTTACCATTGTTATTAGAGATACGTTTCCGGATAAGAGTGACAGGACGGGTCAAAATGTTTTCTTCCATGTGAGTAAAGACTTCTTTGATTAAGGGCAGTCCAGTTATGACCACTGAAGTTATGTCACCAAGATTCAGGCTAAAAATGTTCCCATATTTCTTCACAAACTGAAAAATATATCAATAGTTATAGTTAAATGTGCCTGTGTCTGTGTAACCAGGGACGGTAGGCACATATGTAGCTAACAGAATTCATGTTGAGAGATTTTTGTGAGTGCGGAGATGTACCTTTGTCTGTGGGGATGTTTTTGAAGTTGTGTTTTCCTCTACTGCACTAAACTCAAATTCAAATCAGACAAAAATTTTTACTATATAAAAGTTCATTAATGTTGGTCTGAATGAATTGACTGTGTACCGACCATGTGTTAACCTAGAAGAAATATAAGAGATATAAGCTTCAACAAGGAAGCAAAATCTCTGACCTGCAGTATCCTGAAAGCCAATGAAAAGAGAATGTGTGGCACTTTGACCTGACAAAGTCCAAGGTGGGTGTGTATAGGTTTGACGTTGGTGCAGATTGAATGGACTTCCTAGTAGATCAAACTGTTTAATCAGAAGATAGTGCCCCATACTCACCAGCATGCAGTAGATATTGGATGTACATGTATGACTAATGGGATAAACACTAAGGGAACTCTGTGCTTTGTATATGGAAGAGGTACCTTGGTGTGATAGGAATGTTCCTGATTTCTTTTTTCTCTCCAACAATCTCCAGTTTCAGGATTAGAAATTTCCTTGTAAATCTTTGATTCATATATCTAGTCAACATGAATCAAATGAACATCAACTTGTTCCTAGACTAACTTATGAAGATATGTGTCTCAAAGACACCAAAGGTTGTAACGGAAACATTTTGACATCCAGTAAGGCAGAGAATGAAGAACATCAGTCCAGAAAAAGATTGAGATGTATATGAACAAGGCTGCTATAGAAACTATGGAATAATAATCATAATATCCAGCATCAGTTTAGGCAAAGGAGAATGTGCCTTTCTCAAGCCTTGCTGTATATGTAGAGTACAATAAAGGGTTGAGGATAGCAGTGGAGCCATCTCTGAAGATCTGGAGTGATGTAGTTCACTAACTGAGATCTTGGGGCAGGTGCTCATTTAAGTCTTAGAATCCCAGTTATGAGAAAGTAAAAATTACCCCCTTTCTAAGAGTTCTGAGGGGGAGGATAAGAGTGGCACTATGAGAAGCACTTTGTTTAGTTCCAGGCACAAAGCCACCCACTGCATCTCTGAAAAATGAATAAGTTCTGTGTTCCAAGTTCTGGGAATACAAATGCATGCTGAGAGCCAGGACAAGAACCCACAAGTCCTAGACAGCCACACTCACTGATGGGGTACTCAGCATGCTTTATGCTTAACTTTATTCTTTATACTATAGTTCGAATTTTTCTCATCTTTGTAAAGGGGAAATGAGTTGCAAATGGTGTTATGTAGCCAAGAAAAAAGGCTGTTGCCTGGTGGAGGGACTCTGCCAGATGTTATGTACATCTGTAGAAACATGACCTTTGGGTCTCTATAGGACTTGGAGTTTAGTGGCAGTTAAAAAGTGGGGACCAGGCATGAGGGTGTGGGTGATAGAGTTTAGGGAAGTAAGAAGAGGAAGTTGGAGAGAATGAGAACATGAAGATTCAGAACACATAACGAGTTGCAAAGCTGGAGGACAGTGTGTGATCATTTCCAGAGATCCTTCCACCTGTGTGTTTCCATGGCAGCCCGTATTGACCCACCTCTGTATTTTGTCATCCTGATTCTTGTCAGTAGTACCAGACAGAGGGTTCAATTCCTCCAGGTATCTAGGGTCCTCTGCCCTACGCTTCCCTTCATTTACTCACTCCCTAACATATCAATCACAGGGACCTTTGTGGACTCTGTCAAAGCAAACATAATGATTTGGTCTCATTCTAGGATTCTGTACCCATGTTATAGATAAAGCTTTAGACTCAGTATTTCCTTTGTTCTTTATCTAGATCCTTGCTAACTTCATTGAGTGGTAGCACAATCTGTCTTGTCTAGTTTGTAAGGCTGAGCCAACAAGTGTATGTTTTTTCGTTTAAGAGATGCCAATAATAGATTTGTACAAATGAGGCAAAAATTAATTTCATCTTGATCAATATGTGGGTGAGGTTTTAGGTTGCATAAGAATTGACTGACTAACTTTCAATGTCAACAAAGAAGTTTGGGAGCAACTTAAAAAATATGGCTTAAGTGCCCCCTGACTAGCAATGTGTACCCCATAGATTCTCTACTTGTACTGGACAGGCATTCAGCAGCTGAGACTAGACCCTGAGGTCAATGTTCTTTCCATCTTCACCAGCTCTCTGCCCATGTGTGTTTCTAGTTCAACACAAGTGGATCGATAAGTTTTTACCTTGTTGTGAAACAAGTGGACGGGTCCTGATCCTTACAATTCTCAACCATGTCAGCTCTGTCTGCCAATGTATTAATATATTAAATGGCCCAGAAGACATTTGGGTATATGTCATAAGGCAGGCAGAACACAATTTTCACTGCATATCTAGTAAGTCATTTGAAAAAAAATAAAACAAAGCTTTTTTTAAAGGTGGCTCAGAGGGGGTAAAACAGAGTTAAAATTGAAAATAACAATAGGAAAGCAAACAACAATGAATTGAAATAAGAGATATAAAATTTAAAAAAAGAAATAGGAGACAGAAAATTTAATAGTAGAAGTAAATCTTCAAGTGGATTGTTGAAGAACAAAGTGGGATAGAGTGTGTGTCTTGAATAAAGAGAAAGTAGAAGCTAAGGATTAGTGAGACAAATGATCCGTGAAGACAAATGACACATTGGCTATATTGAAGTCCTTTAGAAGCTGCAGAAAAGGTGAATCCAGGGGGAAAAAAGGAAATATGGCATCAAATTCCCATTCCCATTAGCCGTATATGAGAGGGTTTGTTAATCTGAATCCTTACAGTCCTATGTAGTGAGCTGTGAGCTTTGTGACTGTGTGTGTGTGTGTGTGTGTGTGTGTGTGTGTGTGTGTGGTGCATCAGTGTGTGGCCTTGTGTATAGAGAAGTAGTTCTTTGTCTCCTTTGCTAAATTGTTTTTCTATGTGTTTCTTTTCATAGGTACATGTCCTAGTTTTCTTTTGGTTGCTGTTATAAAACACTGACCAAAATCAATTTGAGAAGAAGGGATTTAATTTCACAAGTTACATCATCAAGTGCAGGAGTTGTATCATCTCAGTGGGTTGGGCACTCCTACATTAACAAGCAAAAACAAACGTCCCCACACTAAGGTGATAGAGACAACTCCTCAATTGAGGTTCCCTCTTTCTCAGATAATGCCTAAGTTTTGTCAAGTTGACTAAGACTAACCAACATTGGATATATTTCTTTTAAGTTGAAAGTCATCCATTCAATAAAGAAACATAAAAATAAATCTATGGGCATAATGAGCAAAGCTTGGAAACAGTGGCTTTTAGACTTTAGAGAAGACCACAGGGTCCCTTGAAATGTCAGTATATATAAGCTCTTCACTATAATGTTATGCACAATTGTGTACACTCCTTTGTACATTAATTCCTCTTCAGAGTAACAGTCTCATTGGCCATCTTCTGAGAGAGGCTGACTATGCAGAAAAATGTGTGATGCACAACCAAAGAAGACATCTTTTATAGTCCTGTTAGAAACTGAGATGAAGACAAAGACATCTAAAGGGAAATAGTATTGGAACCAAGTGCTCATTTGTGAAGGTTATCAGAAAAACATACATAGTGTTAAGGTCAAAATACTCATACTGTGATATTATGCACTACGGATACAAAGACTGAAGAATGAGCATGCACAGGACCATACGGCTTACTCAGTCCCTCTAGAAGTAAGGTCTTATTAGAGAACACCCGGCCAAAGGTCAGGGCCAAGATATAGGGAATTCAGCAGTCCTCAACGTCAAGAAGTTCACAATCCTATACAGCATGCAAACCTAAACAGTTCTTATTGTTGCCTGGGGTCAATCAATTATTTGATGAGGGGAAGCTGGAAAGTGTCTGACAGGATCAGGATCAGGGGCAGACTCATGGAGGAAATATCTGCTTTGAGATAAATTAGATAGGAATCAAGGCTGCTTTTAGGTCTTACCTTTCAGTCAAGTATGTTGTAGGCTAAAAAAGGTTCAGCACCCAAAGTATTAAGTGGACTCCCTTGGGTTCAATGAAGAACTTTGAAGGTCATAGGATGAGGATGGTCATAGGAGAGGTGACTCACTGGGGCTCAAGTCATTGAATTGGGGGACATCTGACCTGCTTGAATGCGGATTCTGAGTCTTATCCTATGTGTAATTTGGGAGAAACTTAGTGATATTTTCTCTATCTGTTTCCAAATCTATGAACCTTAGGTTCATTGTCATAAATAAATGTGTCAACAGAGCCAATAATAAAGTAATCGTAACAATTTAGAAATTATCGGAGTAATGAGAGAAGGAGGCCAGCCCTGTACTGCACAAGAAGGCAGACGGCAAGCAGGAAGATCCAGCACCAGAGAAATCACAACTGTGCCTCAATACACAAATGCCCCCAAAAAAGTAGGAAAGAGAAAGTGTAAATGAGAAAATTCTTAAAGAATGGTTGAAACTTCCTAGTCTGGTGTAATATGAACCTGCCATGAAGAACTCAACAACAGAAAGCCACCAAATAAACCAAGACCAGCCTGAAAACTAAACACACACACACACACACACACACACACACACACACACAGGGTAAATTATGTGAATGGGGGTTTTTAGAGAAAATGACTTACTACTGTTGGGAAACCCACAAAGGCCAGAATGAATTGGGAGAACATCTTAAAACATTAAGGGCAGCAAAGGGTCAGCCTGGTGTACTGCAGTAGGGAAAGACAGTGTGGAAATGGAGGGGAAAGGCATTCTGAGGAGGGGAACAGCTAAGAAGTTTCCTTCTGCCACAGCCTCCGCTGCAGGAATAGGAAAGAAAATGCTTGAGGTCAGAAAGGAAACTGTGACCTGCCAAGGGCAGAAAAAAGACAACAATGGGAGGATGAGTAAGGAGTAAAGCAACAGACTGCCCTGCCTTTGAGTTCTGGCTGCACTGGACACTGCACAGACAGCAGGGCAGTGTCTGATGAGCATCTCAGTGTGTGTGTCATGGGCGGGAGAAAGTTCCTCCATGTTTGTAGTCACTTCACTTCACATGGAAAGTGGTGTTTGCAAAGTCTCATGGGCTGCACGTGCACCCTGAGTAACACAGAGCAGCTGCGGGAGGACAGTAAAAGAGATGTAGGCACACCTTTAATCCCAGCACTCAGGAGGCAGAGGCAGGGGGATCTATGTGAGTTCAAGGCCAGCCTGGTCTACAGAACGAGTTTCAGGACAACCTCCAAAGCAATACAGACAAACCCTGTCTTGAAAAACCAAAACCAAACCAAAACAACAACAACAAAAAGAGAAATAAAGAGAGAGAAGAAGAAAAAGGCACCTACTAAGGAAGTGTCCAAGAAATACACAGGGAAGAAAAGGATGTGGGGAACAAAGGAGAAAAATTATGGGCTTGGACCCTTAAACAGCAACAAATAATCAGCAATGGTCAATCTTCACATGTAATGGAAAGTGACAGGGATAATTAAGCACAGCTGGAGTATCCACTGTCTAAGCAAGGAAAATCACTGTGGATAATAAGGAACATTACATGGGAAAATGTTCATTCGCCAGAAAGACCTGCCAGTCTTACATGTGTACTAGGTACACACAACAGTCTTTCCAAGAACAGAGCTTCCAGAACGGAGTGGAAAGACAGACAGACTCCCAGTGGAGCTGAAGATTTCAGTGCATCTTTCTCTGGAGTTGATAAAAACCATAGTTGAGCAGTCTCAAGGATGTAGAAGGACCAAACAAGGATCAGTAAGAGAGAACTAGTATTTATAGAAAAGTCCAAACATGAGAATAACACACCTTCCCCCCCCCCCCCCCCCCCCCCCCCGGCCCCCCACCAACTAAGAAGTAGCATCTTCCCACACATTTCTGAAATTGTCAGGGCTTATTTATCAAGATATATTATTATGCCTTCAATACACCTGGACTTAAAGATTTAAAATCATACACAATGAGTTTTGTGACATTAACAGAATTACAACGAAAGCCTTTCATACAAGGGTAAGAAAATCTCCAACTATTTGGAAATGGAACAGCGTATTTATTAAAGGAGGACACAGGTTTTGGGTTCAGGACAGCAGGTTGCCATCACCAGACTTTGAACCTGGTATTCTGTCCCAGACCCTGGCTGTCCCCTGTTCCTTTAGCTCAGGATTACATCAGAACACAGCTAGGCACCCTCGCCCATCCTACCGGCTGTATTGAGAGGTGCGCCTTATCAAAGTCCAACTGGAATATGCTGCCCACGAAAGGCAGACCCCTCGGCCCCGGCGGGTAGTTCTTGGGGCGCCGGTTTTTGAGGTAGTCAGCCAAGAACAGGAAAGTGACAACAGCCAGTATCAGAGTCCGGAGATGAAACGTTGCCCAGAAGGCTGCCACCAGGGAGCCCGCGGCGGCGAGCATGGCTGGGACTGGAGCTGGCTCTTCTGAGCTGGAGCAGGTCCCAGGTGTTAACCACCCAGGGTTCCCCACATAACCGATCCTCTTATTGTCCCTCCCTATCCCTTCCTGTCCACTCCCCTGTTTCCTCCCTGCAGCTGGGCTCTCTCATGTTCTCCCTTGCAGGCTAGTGTTTCTTGGAGTAGCTTCCTATCTGCTGGAACCAGTCAGCCAGGGCACCTCTGATCACGTGCCCAGAGACTTCACCCCGCCCTGCCCCGCCCCTCAGAGCTTTACCCGTTCCTCCCCAACCTTCCCTCCCAGGCCCTTGCTGCCTTGCTATGCTGTGCCCCTCAGGTGTCCGGGAGTAGTTCTGGAGTGGCTTGTGCTGTACCCAGGGAAACACACAGGGAACATGGTTTTAAAACCGGTGGATCTGCTAAGGTGGAACCAAGAAATCTCAAGGGGCCCCACCCCTAGAAAAAGAACCACAGGCAAATAAGGGCTGCTGATAAGGAGACTTAGTCTTCCCCAGAGAGGAGCTCTAGAACTGGTTATTCAACACTAAATGGCCAACCCTGAAAACATGTGCGGACACGAAACAAAATGGACCCAGCAGGCTGTATTTATATATTCATGCGTTTACATATATAGTTAATATAATAATCGATTTTTAAAAAGGTCATCAATTTGAGAGGCAGTAAATGGGGAGACATGGGCAGGACTGGAGGGAGAAATGATGTGGTTATATTTTAATTAAAATTAAAATGAAACAATTGGAGGGAGCGTGCTGGCAAATGCATTAATCCCAGCACTCAGGAGGCAAACTCAGGCAGATCTCTGCTAGTTCAAGGTCAGCATAACATAGTGAGTTCCGGGACAGCCAGAACTACACAGTGAGATCCTGTCTCGAAACACCAATAATTACAACAACAACAACAACAACAACAATTTAAAATGTTAAACAAATTAAATATGTTGTGTTAAATATATATTGTGTTAAACATAGTAACAAATTAAAATGTTAAAAGACAGTCTAAGATTTTTCAGTGAGAAAGTCTTTGCCTCGGGGGCACAACTTTGGCTCTAGGTCTCCAGAGAGCATCATGGGTATCTGAGAGCCTATTGTGTAAGTAAGTTTCCTAATCACTGCAACCTCCCTGGGAAACTTAACTAGTCACAGTGACAGCTAACCCATCTGAGCTCCAACAAAATGTGAGGCAGTGCTCTCACCTCTGCAGTAAATCACTTCCCTTTAACAGAGCTATTCTTGGTAAAAATGTGCATCCACAGATGCTTAATTAACATTGGTTGGAGGAGCACCTTAGTGCTGATTACTATTATTGGTAATACTGCTATTATTGTAGTTCTGGAGACTAAACCTATATGAAGCCTATTTATTTATGATTTATGTGCTTGCACTTGTGACATGGTGAGCCTCTGGAAGTCAGCGGATGACTTGTGGGGTTCTTTTTCTCCTTCCACCTTGTGAGACCCAGGAAGCAAACATCTGGCTAGACAAAAAGTGCCTTAACCAGTTGAGCCTCTTTGATACCTACCAAATTTTCTTAAAGTAACCCAAAAGCTCAATAGACCTCAGTCAGAATAAAGCCCAAGAAAACTATAGCCACACATTACTCCAAATGTTAATAGTAATGAAAAAAAAATCTTAGAGACACAGGATGGTGCATTGATGCATATGGGAATAAGATGAACACCCATCAACCTTTCATCAGAAACAGGCCAATAAACATGAAACTACAAAACAAAGAAATGGTGTGCTCAAGGCAGCAAACAACGTGGGGCAGCGATCTACTAATGCAGGGTTCTGTATCTGCAAATACTTCAATTCAGAAACTAAGGCAAAATAACCACGTTCTACTGTTAAAGAAGTGGTAAGGTACACCTAAAACAAGCCTACATTTCCTTTAAGTGCTTGTATTTAAAAAAAAAAAAACAGACAATATCAGACAAATAAGTTGAGGCTACAGCACAATGTTTTTGAAAAACAGTCAAAATCTAATGAGAAGTGATAAAGGCAAGGGCTGAAATGAATGTAATCCTGTATAAAAGAATAACAAAGAGAATGAGGAAAATGAAGAGTGGGCTCTTTGAAAAGATTAAAGAAACTGACAAATCTTTAAAAAGAAAATCTTGAGAAGACCCAACTTGATAATTAGTGGTGAAAATTGACATTTTCAAAGAGATACTTCTGAGAGAATTGTTAGAATTGATTTTTGAAGACAGATCTTCAATAAATTGAAAATCTAGAAGAAATGAATAAATTTCTAAAATTTATATACAATTGAATTAGGAATATATAAAATATGAATAGATTAATAATGAATACTGAGCTCGGGAAGCAGATGCAGGAGGATCTCTGTGAGTTCAAGGCCAGCCTGGTCTCCAGAGCTAGTGCCAGGATACGCTCCAAAGCTACACAGAGAAACCCTGTCTTGAAAAACCAAAAAAAAAAAATAAAAATAATAATAATGAACACCAAGATTTGCAATAACAAAATATTTCCCAATAAAGAAAAGACCAGGATTGGATGAAGTCCCCCATGTCCGACATTCCTTAAGCTATTCTACAAAAGAGAAATGGAGCCGACACTTTCAAACTCAATGTTTTTGGGCAAATATTATCCTGATATCAAAACCAGGCAAGGATACAGAGAAAGAGAGACAGAGTGACACAGAGAGAGATAGAGAGAGTATTCTTAGTGAACATAGACCACATTAAAAAAACAAAAAACATGCACCATGGTCAAGTTGGTTTCATTCCAGGGATACAATGATGATTCAACCTTTACAAACAAGTAAGTTCAATATAGCACACAAATAGGATCAAGGGTCACACTTCAATTAAAAAAAATAGAGGTTGTGTGCAGCAAACCAAGAGCCAATATATTTTCACCATGCATATTGGATATTGTACTTGCAAATTTGCACAAGGCACTGTAGCAAGATAAATAAATAAAAAGGAAAATAGAGAAGGAAGTAGATTAATTAGCCCTACAGACTATATGATCCTCTACTTGAAGATACTACAGAATATTCCAAAAAATTATTGCCTAAAGGCAAACTCAGCAAAAAAGCCTATACCAAGCTAGCACACAATAACCAGTGGCTTTTTTATAGATCAATTATGTACCAACTTAGGAGTCAGAAAAACAATTCTAGTCAAAAGAACTTCAAAAACAATAAAAATACTTAGGTAATAAGCTTATTCAAGAAAGTAATAGACCTCTAGAATGATTGCTACAATTCAGAGAAGAAAGAAATTAAACTCCAGAAAATGGAAAAAGCCCCATTGTCATGGTTTAATAGATTAATATTGTAAAAATTGCCATATTTTCCAAATTAGTTTATAGATTCAATGCAATCCCCATGAAAATATCAATGATACTCATGAGCAAATAGATTATCAACAATATATACATTTAAATTATTACTATAAGACCCTAGTAACAAAAGTTAGGATGCTACCGACACAAAACACATGTATGTATGTATGTATGTATGTATGTATGTAGCATGTATGTATGTATGTATGTATGTATGTATGTATGTATGTATGTATGTATGTATGTGGATTGGAATACAGGACCCAAAAGAAAATTCACACAGTTACATACATCTGTGTGAAAGGAAATCCAGACTTGTACATCCACTTTAGAAATCACTATGGCAGTTTCTCAGAAAATTGGGACTTGATCTAATTCAAGACCCAGCTCTATCACCCTTGGGCATATACCCAAAGGATGTTCAATCATAACACAAGGACCCTTGCTCAAATATGTTCATAGCAGCATTATTACTAATAGCCAAAACCTGGAAACAACCTAGATGCCTCTAAAACCAAAAAATGGATAAAGATGATGTGATACATTTACACAATGGAGTATTACTCAGCTGTTAAAATCAATGACATCAGGCAAGTTGAAGGGAAATGGATGGAACTAGAAAAAATCATCCTGAATGAAGTAACCCAGACACAGAAAGACAAATATGTTATGTACTCACTCATATGTGGATATTAGCTGTAAAGTAAAGGATAACTATGCTACAATTGACAGACCCACAAACCTAGAAAGGCTAGGTAACAAGTTGGGCCTATGGCATGGATTTCCATGGGAAGAGGAATTAGAAGAGATCTCCTGGTTACACTGGGAATGGATGGTGATGGCAACATGAGGGATAGGGTTGGGGGTAGATGGAGGGCCAGAATACTGAAAGAGGTGTCTTGATATGAGAGGGTATTTGGGGGTCAGGTAGAAACCTGGTGCAAGGGAAGCTCTCATGAATCTACAAGAATAACCCCAGCTAAGACTCCTAGCAATAGTGGATAGATAGCCTGAAACACCCAACTCCTATAATCAGATTGGTGACTACCCATTTGTCATCAGAGAGCCCTCATCCAGTAACCAATGGAAACAGATGCAGAGACCCACAGTCTGGGGCTGGGCCAAGCTTGGGAAATCCTGTTGAAGAGAGGTAGGAAGGATTATATGAGCCAGGGGGAATCAAGGTCATCAAGAGGGGACCCACAGAAACAACTAACCTGGGCTCATAGGAGCATACAGTCTGGACTGACTGCTAGGGAGACTTCATGGGACTTATTTAGGCTCTCTGCACTTGTGTGATAGTTGTGTAGCTTGGTCTATTTGTGGGACTCCTAGCAGTGCAAGATGGGCCTGGTCCTAAGGGTTTGACATATACTGGGTTGCCTTGCCCAGCCTTAATACAAGGGGAGGAGCTTAGTCCTACTATAACTTGATATGCCATGTTTTGTTGATACCCATGGGAGGCCTGTCCCTTTCTGAAGTGGATGGGGGGTGTGGAAGAGAGGTGGGGGACGGAATGGGAGGAAAGGAGGAGGGCAAACTTAGTTCAGGATGTAAAATAAATGAATACATTTAATTTTTTTAAAGTTCCTGTTTTGACTGGCATTAAGTATTTAGATTTCTCCTCTCAGAGTGAATTTCCAAGGGAAATTCCAATTCCTTTATGGACCACTGTTCTGATACTTTGATAGCCAAGAGGAACAAAGTGGTGGGGGAGGGGTGGTTGCATTGCCTCTTCACAATATTTTAATTTCTGCTATCATTATCTTTATAGAACTTTTTGACACTTTGGGAGGGCACTAATGTAGTTCATCAGTTATTGGTATCAGCACAGAAAGCTACTCAAATGAAAACAGAACTTTTATATAATACAGCTATACTATTTCTGAGTATTCACCCAAAGGAATCAAAGTAAAATGCAACTGAAATGCCTGCACATCCATGCTTATTAATTGACCATTTATCACAGCTGTTTTGCTCACCTTTCTTAGCAAGAAATGGCCAAAAAAAAAAATCTGTTCACCCTAGATAGGGAACCAACATTAGACCAAAGTACATTTGTGAGCATAATTGATTGCATCAAATTCCAACTTGGCCACTCATAAAGTTTTCTGGTATTACTTACCGGGCATGGCTGAGATGTTACCTACGAGAGTATGAGGAACACCAAAACAGCTGCACTGATGCACAGTTTCAGCTTGTCATGGGTAATGATAACTGCCTGTTCAGCCAGATTGAGCAGTATAAACTAGCTCACAAACTCACTTTCACCAGCGAAGCTTCCCCAGTCTGTATCCCTGGGCCCAGCTCCTAACTTATGGATCTCTGTCTGTTTCTCTTTATTCTTCCCTCTTCAGACGCAAAAGGTCCAGTTAAGACCTAGGATCCTGGGGCTGGAAAGATTGCTCAGCAATTTTAGAGCACAGGTTGCTCTTTCAGAGGACTGGGGTGTGGTTCCAGAACTCATGTGCCAGCTCACAACTGTCTACAACTACAGTCTCCAGAGGATCTGACAACCTCTTCCAGTTTCTGAAGGCACTGCATGTAAGAAAAATAAGGCGGGGAAGCAGACAAACTTGATTTCAATAGGCTGAGACTGCTTTATTGGAATATTGAGGGGCCCAGACCTTTCTGTGGGCTGGCTCTCTCTCTCTCTCTCTCTCTCTCTCTCTCTCTCTCTTTCTCTCTTTCTCTTTCAAAAAACCACACACCACCACCCACACACCCCACTGAGTGAGAGCAAGAGCTACCAGAAAGTTATATTTTTTTTTGTGGGGGGAATTGACTGGAAGCAGAGTAGGTTATTTTTTCACACTAGGTGTATTGTTTCTACAGGTGGAGGGCAATGGTCAGGCTGGGGCTAAGCCATTCTTTAGGGATAAATGGCCCATATGGCCTGACTCAATGCCTCATGACCCAATACATCCCAACTCTGGATGGGTAAAAGGAGGAGGAGTGGTTGTCGTTTTGGGAGGGTGCTTTTTCCAGCTGCAAGAGGGCTATGGTCTCAACAGTGGAAGGAACATGTTGCAGTCTCCTCTAGGTTTAATAGGGGTTGGTAGTTTTAGGCCATGAAGAAATCTTGTGGGTAGTGAACACTTGTAGTGTTGGATGAGCTTGGTGAATGGATGTAAGGGCAGGGGCCAAAGAGTAACAGTAAAGTCATGATTGGGGCTGTCAAGGGGACAGTCCATGGTATTCTCCCAAACAGTTCAGGTACCCTTCTGGAAAGTTTTGTCTGTTCCTTTTCTGTTTTGAATTCTTTCTAATAGTTGTTTAGTGTTTTCCTGTGCTGGATCAGATCAATTGGCATAAAAACCTCATTCTTCCCCTAGGAAGGCACAGATATCTCCTTTGTTCAGCAGTCATTGAGTCCTCTTTGATTTTGGAGAACCACTATAGTCAAGAAGTCTACTTGGTTTTGCAAGGGTTATGCTTTATTGTACAGGGCAAGCCTTTCTTGGTCTGATTGGTCCATTGTCTGTGTTGTGCCTATTGGTGTCATGTAGATGTTACAGGATGACAGTCATTGGGAGGACTTACATGGAGTTTTTGTTTTGGTATGGGTAGGGGAGTTCAGAGTATAAAACACTTAAAAGACAGGATAAAATGTGAGCATGAGGATAAGGAAAGAAGGAGTAATTAGGGGAGGGGACAAAGTGGGAAGAAACTACAAAGGTCACACATAGGAAAAGGCTTGGTTGAATTTTTTTCTGGTCTTTATGTCTTTGGCTCCCATCTCAACCAGTTAGGATTTGTTGGTGTAGAAGCAGCATTGTTGTAGGAGGAGGGCACAGATCCCATCGTTGGTAGTGATAAGATCCAGTTGTGAAGTACTTTGGGAGCCAAAGAATTGAGTTGGTCCTGAAGGATGTTAAGCTGACCTGAAATTTCTCTAAGGTTTTTGAGGGCTGGTAAGATAGAGGGGTTAATTGATGCAGCAAACGCTTCAATCCAGCTGTCTTAGTTCTGAGTCCTGGGAACAGTGGCAAAAAACTGAATGAATAGGATGGAGTTGGATCCTCCTTCAGAGGTCACTCAAACTGCTTTTAGGAGTTCAGGGTGCAGATTTCTCTTGGAGCTGACAAAAGAGACAATGTAGAAAAGGCAGCAGTTAGGTGCCTTGGAAGAGGGTCCATCCAAAGGGCCACAATAAAACTGAAAGGGAGCAAAGATCCAGAATAATATTCAGGAGGTAGCAACTGCACAACCCTGTCAGGAATATTAAGAGGGGAAATCTGTGTAGTAAGGTTAAATACAATTGTACAACTGGCTAGAGCAGGCCATGTACCAGCATTTTGTGGAAGGACATGACAACTGTAATCAGTGGTTTGTTGCATCCGAACCCTGCATAAGAAAGAAAGGCCTGGAAGTCAGTTCAATTCAGCATCTAATTGGCAGCTGAAAAGAGAAATAGAATGTCACCAGGTCATTTTTATAGGATTGCCTAACAAGGTTTTTAAAGACACTGCTTGGATGGTCTGAATAAATACCCAAAATTCTGAGTTTGATGTCAGAGTATCTGGAAGCCCGCTTTAATTCCAGGATCACGGGTGGCATGGATGGCTACCGAATGGACTGTGGATTTCACTTTGTTAAGAGGAAGAACTGAAAGTTAAGGAAAAGGAGCTGACTAACTGAACTAGAATGCAGGTCCCATATCAGTCGGGTGGTAGGCTTAGGTACCAACTGGCCCTGTTCATAGAAGCTTCATATGCCAGTCTGGGAGACACTGAGGGCAGAGTAATTGCTATTTAGCTCTCTGTTATTTAGCCATTTAGGGTGTGGGTGTAGGCTCTGAAATCCTCCACTGGGAAAGAGAATCCAGCTCCCTAAATATGTGCCACGGGAGGAGTAATTCATGTAATTCATCTTTCCTAGATATATGGAAGGGTTTTTGTTTTATTGTTGTTGTTTTTCTGGTTTGGCCTATATAGCCAGAACAGGTCAGGCCTACACAGCCAGAGACAGGAGCAGCAGATCTTCTGGGTTTGGGGTTTTACTTCCACATGCATCCTTATTCTGCAATGAGGCTAGCACACAACATACATGGCACACTATAACAAATTAAGATTACCTGTATATGAATTTTTGACAATCAACTTTCTTTGTTGCAGGTTTTAAGTTAACAATAAACAAGAAGGTGGAAGGGATCTTTCAAAGAGTTAGACATCCATAATTACATTTATGGATCATTTAAACTTTTAAACAATATACTTCCCATGATTACATAATGAGACATAACAGTAACAGATAAACTCATCATTATTAAATTTATATTTCCATCACCTGATAGAATTTGGCTGAGGGAGCCCTGTTGAAACTATGATCCTTGAGTTATGATTGGAAGACTTTAGACAGATGGTCCTTTGTATCCTTTCCATGCACAAGCATCCTGTTAGATGGTTTTAGTAGACATCTTTATACCATGAGGTAACAATAGTAGCCTCTATTGGAAACAGTTTAGCTTTTAGCTGTTTATTTATTTATCAATTTATTTTTCTCTCATACATTACATCCCCGACTGCAGTTTTCCCTCCCTCCACTCCTCCAAGGCCCCCTTCACCCCTCCCCTAGATCCACTCCTCTGCTTCCCTTCAGAAAAGAGCAGGCTCCCAGGGATGGCTGTTTTAAAGTAGATAATGTCAAGGCCATTTTGAGTAAGGGAACAGGTACACTAACTGCAGGTCACTTCTCCTTGCCTCCTCCAAAGCCAGCGCTGCCCCAGTCTCATTTGTAGCTCTGCAGCAGATGCAGGCCACCAGCCGTGGCCATCCCCCATCTCCAGTGGCTCACACTCATCCTCCCCACCTTCTTCTCTTCCCACCACTCATTGCTGTATCCCAGGCTCCAGCTGCAGCAGCCATTCCCTGAGAACCCACAGGCCACTCCGGCCAGGGAAGCAGGTGGACTAACTGCAGATCCTCATGCCTCCCACTGCTCCTCCAAATCCAACCCCCACCTCCAACCCCTTTCTTATCTCCGGGTCTGTAGAAGACTTGCTGTGGCTTCTCCTCACCCTCTGTCTCCATTCCCAGGGGCCTAAACAGAACATCGTGGAACACCCGTCTATTCTCCCCCTTGTGGAGCCCCTAAGCCATTCCTAAGTATCAAATCTCAATAACCATAAACATCTTTTACCTGGAACCCCAAAACTGTCGTATGCATTGGCACTGTTAGACTTATTAAATACCCATGGCTGGTGAGGGTATGGATAGAGGAAAACCTACTACTCCAACTGTCCTACATCAATGTGTGTTCAAACTACATTACGAACACCCATCCTTAGACCCACAGGTAAGGGCAGCTCTCATCCCTCATCAAGGAAGTTCCTTTTTGCAGTACATGGAGACTGTCACAGAGACTCACAGCTGGTCACCATGCAGAGAACAGCTGACTGTGGGGCACTCATCCCCAGAAGGCACATCTATAACACAACCCTTAATGGCTTGTTTCCTTATGTCCCTTATTTCTTTATTTCCTCTCAAATGACTTGTATAGTAGTAGATGTCAATCAGAAATGAAGAGGGGAGGGAATGGGGCTTCCAAAATGAAAGAAGAATGGTTGTTGGGAGTTTCAGTCACAAATATTTTTTCTAATTCTCAGATGGCAGCTGCAGAGCTGGCCAGTGGGAAAGCCTTTGCGGACACCCTTCCTTCTGCACCCTCTAGATAAACTGTGTCGACAGGCTAGTTGCAAATGCACATCACAGGAGAAAAGGAGGGGACAAAGTAACTTTTATGATCATTTTTTACAACTACCATATCAATGTAATCCACCATTTCTCATGAGCAATGCAAGCATCTTCTTTACTGGAGGAATCATCTTTCTCTGAAGATCTTAGGCGAAAAGTTCTATCACTGAGCTAGTAAGTGGCTTTCCACTTATGAACCCATAGTTGGATTCAATCTCTTTAGTGTCATTAGAGCCATTTCTCCAGTCACCTTCATTCTATGTCCTCAAGTGCGAGCAAGCACCAGTGTCTTCCAAGCATATGCCATTTCTTCATACTTCCCTTCTTCAACATCACAGCCTAGGAATTGCACAAATGCGGTGACTGACAGGTGAAACGGTAACTGACATTCTGAATTGCAGGCTCAGCTTCTCATCGGCTGGGGGCTTGAAGGTAAATTTTTGCACAAGAGCAGTAAAGAAAATAAAGAGCTCAGACCTGGCCAATTGTTCTCCAAGACAAGCTCGCTTTCCTGTATGACAAAAACAAAGTAACAAAGTAATTTATTCAGCTGCCACTGGTATGTCCAGGGTCTGCTGTCACACTAACTACCTTTTGCAAAGTTGATTCTGGGAGTGGAATCCAGTTGCTTATATATGTCTAGCATCTGCCTTGTCTTCCCAAAACACAGAAGGTGAAAGTTCAGGATCATAAATCAAATTCTTCCAGGGATCAGGCAGTGCTGGGAGACCATGGCATAAGACAATAGGAGTAAAACCCTGAGCTGACCTGGACTGTGTGACAAACATAAATGCTTTCCAAACTCACTTCACTGACATAAGCAATAGGGCAGATAATGGTGCGACAAAAAAAATCTGTGAGATGCTTTTCAACCTTTAAAATGAAAGAGAAAAAAATGCAAGCAGGTATCTGAACAGGGTTGTTAAAGCACAAGTCAACTTCCACCTAAGCCCATGTCCTCCTCCACCTTGAGTGTCCTCAGTAATAGATGGCCTCCTTAGCTCTCTGACTATCCGGTTCTCCTCAAATGCCTCTCTAGGCTATTGTTGCTCCCTTTCCTGAAGGAGGGTCTACTACTAACTCACTGTCCTGCAGCACAACGTATAGTCACTATCATCATTTCTCTTAGGTGCATTGCTAGTATGTTTCTTGCTTCCATGATTTTTTTTATTGCTAACTGATTTTTTTTCATATCTTATATTCTGATTATGGTTCCCCCTCCCCAGCTCTTCTAGCTCTTCCCCATCTCTCCAAATCTAGACCCCTCCTCTTTCTCTCATTGGAATAGAAATAGGTATCAAAAACTAGTAATAATAATAATAAAAGATAAAATAAAAACAAGCCAGAATAGGACAAAATGAATACTGAAGTACCTTGTATCCACTATGATATCAAGCATGAAAAGAAACATATAAATAAGACCAAGGAAGTTATTTATAATCCCATAGTCCAGACAGAACCATGGGCACAATGATATGCATGCCAACGTTGTCATGGGGATTCCACGGAACATCGTTATAACCATTATCCTACTCAACTCTCTCCCTCTCTCTCTATTTTTTGTTTTTTTTCAAGACAGGGCTTCTCTGTAGCTTTGGAAGCTGTCCTGGAACTCACTCTGTAGACCAGGCTGGCCTCGAACTCACAGAGATCTGCCTGCCTCTCCCTCCCGAGTGCTGGGATTAAAGGTGTGCCCCACCACCACCTGGCCTTACTAAACTCTTTGAATTGCTTTTGCTACTTTGTTTTTCTCAGGAAACTAACTAGCATTCCCAGAATGATCATCAATTCATGCTTCTATTGTGCCCTCCACCTTCCACAGATTGCTGAAGAAACAAAATCAGATATTATAGGCAAAATTGTTCAGTAACTGTGTGTTACAAAAGTGGTGGCGTCAGTTTGTGCTGTGTGTCCCATCAATGTGTTTAACTCATCATCTCTGCTATTTTCATCTTCATCCTGTTAAGTATGTCTAGGGATATGACTAGTAGGTTGCTAAAATGGAACCGAATCAACTCTGTTGCAAATTCCCAAGATTCTTCTACAATTCTTCTGTCAGGACAAAACTTGAGCTGTAAAGTCAGGAATTTATGCTCCTGACTCCACCCTTGCTCAGTCAAGGACCACTTATTTTCACAGGGCTAAATCTTTCTCACTTGCCAAACACACCAACAGTCTTGTTTCTTACACGGTCTCCACGGCTGGGCAATCTTCACAATTAGCCAGCAGGAATTTACATACTTAAAAAAAGATGAAAATAAGGGACACTCAATTTGAAAGCTTTGGTCTAAATCAAAGAACAGGTCCAAGATCAGAGGTCAGAACAAAGCTTTCCTCCTTTCAAGTTCTTTACATCAGGTGCTGTGTGACAGTAATAGGCAGCCGTGTGATAATGACAGGAAGTTGAGTGACATTGACAGGCAGCTGAGTGACAGTGATAGACAGTTGACTACCATTGTCTGGTTCAGACAGTGCTCAGGCCATCACAAAAACAAAACAAACCAAAAACAAAACACATGAATTGCCTCAGTACTGAAACAAGCAAAATGACCCAAGCTTTTGTCAAAGTTCTTTCCAAGCCTAGCTCCTGTGAGTCAGTGGTTTGGTTTATTTATTGATTTGATTTATTTATGAAGAAACAAAAGACTCCTGCAAGCATAAAGCTGCCAGTGCTCTGGTCTGTAAACAGGCAGGTCTGGAAATTCAAGAATGATTGTGCCATCTGCCCTGAAAATATACCCTACTTATTTTTGCCAAGAGAAAAGAAGCTGATATCTGAATTTCCTTCATCCAGGCAGGCTGCATATAGAAAGCATAGAAAGAGGAGGGGGGAAAAGTAGCCATGTGGTAAAGGTAGGGGCAAAGCAGAAAATATTGACAGCTGTTGGCACAATGCTAATCCAATAGACATTTTAGGTTTCTATATTCTGCTCAGTGTAATTTGTTTTTATTATGTCACCACTTGTGTTAGCATCCTCAGGGAATTAAATTTTATTACCTCCATTAGAAGGAGATGATGAAAGCAATACAGATCTCATTGCTTTCTTCCATGGGTTCCATATTGTGTATACTGGTACTTCAATATTGTTCCAACCAAAGACTGGGGCTGGCCTTGTGGTTTGAATAGGTCACCAGAATGCAGTGGAAGTCATGGTGTGACAATTCCCAGAGTGGAGCTCACCATGACTGTGTATTTCTGTCTTCTCTCTTGGGATATTATTACTACCTTATAAACAGACAGGTGGTTTGTCCAAGAGAAACAGATAACATAGAAATAATACTATTTTTTTCCAGGTAAGGTCACACAAGCTCACTTATCTCACCTGTATACTTGTGAATGATGCCTGTAACTAACAGTTTGGGGCCACTTGTTATGCAGAAAGACACTTGCTGATACATATGAACTCAGTGAATCTTATAGTAGAAGGAACTATAACTTAGCCTTAAGCCCAATTGTGGTAACACATATTCTTGGAATATTTTGGGTTTATCTATGGGAAGAAAGAAGATACCAATCCATTTTATTTCCAATTAAGAATGAACAGGTAGATTGCATGAGACAATGTGTTTGCCAATGTAGTCTGTAACTAAGAGGGTTGTAAAAGAATTCCCAACAACAAAACACCAATGAATCACATTGTGTTGCTCTTTTTATTCTAAAGCTAACGGCTATGGAAAAATATTTTCATATCAGGGGAGAGATGAAGCATCTATGGGAAAGAGACATTTAACCTATGATGAAGAAGAAAACAGTCTATCTCATCTTCTCCCTTTCATACATGAGTGTATAACAATCCCTCTAATCAGTAGCAGCAAACACCAGGTAAAGAATCTTGTGGAATACATGAAGGGACATAGTCCCAGAATTTCAGAATTTCATGTTAGAACTAAGAAACAAGGAAAGTTTTATCAATGGAAATAACATTGTGATGTGATTAAAAAAGTTGAAATTATTTAACTGGGAAGACTGGGGCTTTTCTATACCTTATACTACCCATTCTATGAGTGAGTTATGGCAGGTAGGTCCTTCATGTTGTTACCATATACTTTCATCTATTGGATTACAATTAGGAAGTTAAAATTATAAAAACAGAAGACCATACTAGGGATTGTGTACAGAGAAGAATATAACACAGTTAAGAAGGTGCTATTTAGAGATACTGTCTCATGTGTTCATTTTGATAAGTAAGGATCTCTTCTGCCTGGCATTCTTCCATATCCTTATGAAAGCATAGGTCTATTTCCAAGAGAAACAGAATCCCTTTAAAATAACTTGGGAAATTAAAAACTCAATAAAAATGGAAACTATCCAGGTTTGGAGAACAAGAGGCAAGGATCTGGGTCTCTGTTCTCAGTATCGAGGAAAGAAAAACACATCAAAAGAAACTGAAAACTTCATTAGAGGTAAAGGAGACCATCTGAAAGAGGGCTAGCCTGAAGCAGTGCTGGTACAAAGTATTCTGGGATTCAAACAAGACAATACTGGGCCACACACTCTACTAGAGTAGGAAGGTAATGGTCAATTCATCTGCAAACCCTGCAGTCTACAATGGTGACTTGCCTATAAGATATACTGGTGCAACAGTGGCAATGGTAGGGAGGACATGGGAGTAGTAGGAAACAGAACACTGTGATCATAATATATTGTATGGAAAGATTAATAAACAAAAAGAAAAGGAAGACAGGGATCCAATGGGCAGGCTCATCTAGAGACATTCCCAAGCAAAGCATAGAACTATAGGATGGAGAGGAGGGAAGGGCTGGGATGGAGCTCTGAACTCTCTCCTGCACATCACAACTCACCCATTGAGAAAGGCAGAAAAGATTCTCTTTTCTTAAATTGTCCATTCTCCAAAAAGTGCTCTGGGTTGAAGATGTCTGGAGTGGCCCACTCTTTGGGGTCCCTGTGCAGTGCAGTCAGGTTGGTCAGGATCATGATTCCCTAGAAGAAGCAGCAGGAAGTAAAGACTTAATGAAAACTCCCACAGACAGGTGATGAATCTCAAACTCCCATGCCTGGCCAGAGATACTTGACATCTTGAACTTTCCTACTCTCCCCAGCTGAGTCTCTGTCACCTGAAGAATCCCAACCATTTACAAAGGTAGGTGGACCATGCTTTATTAACGAATCTATCTACTTTATTAAAAGTGGTTAGTATAGGTCTGAGAAGAGGTCCTGAAAGCATCCACAGGGTAATAATGAGCCTGCTGTTCACTGCAGCTAGGACCATTGCAGCCATATGATAGGGTGTCTCCTTCATCTATGCATTATTTTCCATACATTATCTAAGAGATTACAGCCTATCTCACTACAGTCAAAGACCCAGGGATATGTCAGAAAGCATTCCTGTTAAGACAGATATGTCACACAATACTCAGAGTCACCAAAGTGGGCCTTTCTATCTTTTTGCTCAACCATCAACAAAGCTGATCCATTCTTCAAATATCTCTTGAATCCATCACCTCCATTCCAGACCCCACTGCAGCCTTAGTGCAGGCTGCCATCTTTTCCTTCTAGACTCTTGCAACCACCTAATAGCTATGACTCTGTTCCACAGTTTGAAAGCTGAGTGTGCTTTACATATGACTTAGCGACATTCCACTCAAACTTGGAAAGCAGGTTTCTCATATTTTTAAACCAAAGATTCATCCTGTGTACCACCAGAGGCACTGTTCATTGCTCCTCTCTGACTGGCATCCCACCAGTCTTCCTTTATGCTCTCATCCAGGCCATGTTGCAATGCTGATTGCTTTAGATGGAGTATTCCTTTGCATTTTGACACAAAGATAATTCTTAACTCTCCTTCAATCCTCAGCTCCTTTACCTCTTCCTCCTGAAGCATTCACTGATTCCTTCAGCTGCTACTCCCCATCCCATGTTGCCAGCATCACAGAGAACTAGAGTGTTTTCCTTCTGACAGCCCTCATGGTTTATAAGCAGGGACACCCATGACACAGGTATCCCGACTGCAGACCCAAACTTTGTGGGTGTTTAATGAACACTTTCTTGATTAGTAAAGAACAACTTCTATTCTGTGTATAAGGTTTTGCATATGTAATCTCATATTTCCATATGGAGCCTATGCATTTGGTTGAATGCATTTTGTAGAAGCTGAAGCTGTGTTTGGTTAAGTAATATGGGAGTCAGTGAAGTCAGCATTGGAAACAGACCTAATTGCTGTCAAGGCCACAGTTCTCCACATCTGTTGAACATAGTCATTTAGATTTCTCAATATCCAGGGAACTGATGTTATAGTCTCTGGGAAGAGTTGGTAAGGTTGTCTGAAGATGAATGAATGAACAGAAAAATGCAAACATCATTGGAAAAATTCAGGCCTCAGCTTCAAGCCATGAACTCTTCATCAGAGAAAGAGAATGGTGAACACAATGAACGCTCTCTGCTTCTATAGCAACTGTGCCCTGCCAACATTAGACCAGCAATACACTGAGGTGTGCCATAGCAAACAAAGCCAGCTTTGGCTTAAACACACCTGATCTAGGAATCTTCCCTTCTCAATGCTTCATAATAGATTTGAATATCCACTGATACACATAGAGGATTTTGGCAGAAATATACTTTTTTTCCTATTGAAATGATTTCTTGGGTCGGGAATACATGTCATGTTTTAAGTTTAGGATCCCAAGATGATGCCAAAGATGGACTGGAAGATCTGAGGCTGGGAGAGTGGTTACCTTTGGCAGGTCAAATCCAGCCAACTTGGTGTCACCTGTCCCTTCCCTGGGAACATTAAAGGGGATGATATTTCCTATCCGCTGCACCTCGTGGATGACGGCATTGGTGTAGGGCATGGACTCTCTGTCAGCCAGTATGGGCTGTCTTCCTTGACCAATCACTCTGTCAATCTCAGCCTGCACTTTTTCTGAAAGAAAACAGGAGATTTTATTAATTTTAAAACTTTATTTTTTTTTCTAAAGACATGGAAATTACTAGTAGTATGAGACCTCACCTGTTTTTATTTCACCTTAGCACCCTGATTATAAAGAAATAAAAGTTTACCCAACCCTTCAAATATCTGTTTTAGAAAACTGTCAGTTCAATAGCTTTATTTGAGCTTACAAGGGAATCATAAATTTCCGTATATCATGAGCTAAATATCTCAGATTACCATAGCAGTATCTAGGCATGCTTCTACACATAAGCACCATTCACAGAGTGAGATACAAATCACACCAATGTTTTCCTCATAGTTCTGGGGGCGGGGGAATCTTCTGAGATCAAAGCACTAGCAGTTTTCTTGCCCCATAGACAACAAATATCCATCTGTTTGGTGCCAAACCTTCACACCTTAAGGAGCAATGAATCTCTTTGGTAAATACTAATTCTCTTCATAAGGGCCGATTGCCTCCTGTAGTCATATTGATAGATGATAGAGCTGAACATGAGCTTGGCAAATAGGACACAAAGGTTCAGACTGCAGAACATCTGTAATCCCTACTTTTTTTTTTTTTTTTTTTTTTTTTTTTTTTTTTTTTTTTTTTGGTTTTTCGAGACAGGGTTTCTCCGTGTAGCTTTGGAGCCTATTCTGACACTCACTCTGGAAACCAGACTGGCCTCGAACTCACAGAGACCTGCCGGCCTCTGCCTCCTGAGTGCTGGGATTAAAGGTGTGTGCCACCAACGCTCGGCAATAATCCCTACTTTCTTAAGGAGGTTTATCTTCATGGGTCATAGACAGCAGTGTGTTGCTGGTCAACATTGCTGCTGAAGATGCTTCCATTTTTGAGCTTCAGTTTTCCCATGTGATTAGTGAGAATAAGTTTGCCTTAACCTAAGGATGTTTTCACATTTATATGAACTGTTATAATAACCTATTGATTCTGCAAGCTGTCTGCCAATATAGAGGTTGAATTCATTTTATCTGATTGGTTAGCAACACATTTCATTTAAAATAAATTTGGGATTCCAGGCTCTTTACTATGACTCTCTATATGAAAATTAATTTCACATAAAATTTATATAATATAAAATTTATCACTATTACCATGGTGACTCAGGGCAGGGTTCTTCCTATATAGACAGGATCACCTTAAATTTTCAACACAATTGTCTCAAACCTGTCAGGTATGGAGATTAATGGTGGGAGGCACCAATCATAGTTCTTCTCACCATTTTTGCATGAATAATTCACTAGTCTTTAGTATGTTCATACTGTTGTATATGTTATTGCTGGAACTTCATTGCATAAAAAAGTCTATGTCCATGTTACAAACACTGATTTCCCCTTCCTTGCATTCTCCCTTCTGTGTGTACAATTTGACTATTATTTCAGTTGGATAGTACATTATTTGGAATTTTGTGTTCATTTTCTTTAACTTAGCACAATGTCCTGAATTAAGTGCAGCATCAGAATTCCTTTTCTGGGGCTGGAGGATGGCTCAGTGGTTAAGATCACATGTTACTCTTGCAGAGGACATGAACGTGGTTCCCAGCACACACATGTAGCTCACAACCATCTATAACTCCAGTTCCAGCAGATCTGATGCTTTTCAGGTACAAGACAAGCACATATTACATATACATACAGGTAAAGCACATATAAACATAAGATTAAATAAATCTTTAAAAAAATTGAAAAGAATTTCTTACCTCTGATTAGTTTTCTATAGATCTTAGGAGGTATATCCCACACTTTATTTATTCATGTCCTATGGATATTCTGTTTTTTACTGCCCCTTGACTACTCTACATGTTGTGAAATGTACATGGTTGTAATTATATTATTTAAATCTACTGATACTTTGGATTCTCATTTTCTAGAGTCAAATCTGTATCCTAAGTGAGATGCCTGTTAAGCTGAGCTAAACCTGCAGACTCAACATGGTGATGGAGACAACTGAGTCCAGCAAGTTGTCCTATAACTTCACACTTGTACCATTGTACTCTCCTGCACCTCCTAAAATATATCAAAAAATTTAAATGTAATCTTCAGGAAGAAATGCATTTTAAATGATGACTCAAGAAGCATATAGGTAAAGATGGATACATTAGTAAATATACATTTCACATTAATAAAGAAATAAAGTTTACCCTGGGGAGAGAGCTCAGTTAATAAAAAAAGCCTTGCTTGCAAGTAGGAGGACGTAAAATCCATGTTAAAAAATCAGGTATGAAGGCAGGGAGACCCCTGTTGAATTCCAGGCCACAGAGAGAACTTATCTCAAAAAAAGTGACCTATGCTTAAGGAAGGAAGTCTGAAGTTATTCTGTGGCCTAAGCAAGCATGTGCACATATACACATACATACATTCATACAGGTCACTCACACAAAGATGAAATAATGGTTACAGACAAATCTGACTTCACCACATTGGTAGGATGCTAACTTTCTCTTTTCAGTTTTCATCCAGGGAAAAAATATACTAAACTGACTTATAACCCATGAATAAATTGTTAGCCATATTTTGAAAAAAAAAACACAAAAAAACCAGTTTCAGGATATAAAAAATGGTCCCAACCACTACCTGCTAAACTCTTCTAGAATGTGGAAGAAGAGAAATTATGAGACAGACAATTCTTTGTTATGGACAACAGGCAGTGGAGAGACACAAAAACAATGTACAAAGCTCAGTCATTGATGGAGGAGCATTGTTCATCTCTGGAGGAAGAAAATAACAGCAATTCCCTAGTCAGTAAATTCCTAGAGAAATCTGAAACACCTTAGAGATGTGGTACCTTAGAAGATTATTCTAGATGTGGAAGAATTTGGAACAGTACATTCTTGGTAGAGGGAAGACTTGATGTCATGACTTAGAGACAAGAATAAAGACAGTGACAAGAGAGGACGTGTTACAGGAGGAAGTTACCATGCAGGGTAAGTGGGGTTGAGGATGGGCAGAAAGGTGTATATCAATCATGACTTTAGAAACCAGACTAACCCTTTTGCTCACCATCCAGAGAAAATAGGAATGTATTGCTAAAAAGGAAGGAAGACATCTGTGGATGCTCCTAGGGTAATGCTACTCTTGGCTGGAATTGACCATAATGTCCCTTGACTTCTCTGCTTTGTTCTAGACTTAATGCCTATTGAATACTCAGATGCTATAATATTGGTACTCCTGTACCATAATCCTGACAGAAACATGTAGAGGATGTGCCCCAGCCCAAGTGCACATCACCTCACAGCCATTCTATCTTTTGCCATCCCACCATGTCATCTTTGGGTCCCTTCTGAGCCACAGATTCCAGAAGCATCATGCCACCTTGTCTGGGTGCATTCACCACATGCTGACCTTGGACTTCTGGATAGAGGGCCATACAGAGCAGAGCCCAGCGCAGTGTGGTGGATGTTGTCTCTGTTCCAGCAAAGAAGAGGTCCAGAGTGCTGCAGATGAGGTTTTCTTCATTGAAACTTGTAGTAGTCTTATCTGGGTACTAAAAAGGACAGTGTGTGCTTGTTTATTCAGAAGTTCTGTGTCAAAACCTTAGGGTATGAATTTGGTAAGAGTCACAAAAATAATAATCCCTTTGACCTCATCAGGAAGCATTTTCCTGTCCTGAGTGCTGTAAGCTGACCAAACCTTCTGGAACTTGGGTGGGTGAAAATATCAACTATTTTCTTCTGATTATGTTTTTGGAAACCTTTTGACCAGTGGAAATAAGATGGGCTAAAAATCATGCTTGGCTTCTTGTATCTGTCACATCACTAAGTCACTACTTGGTGTAGGACATTCACTTAACATTTCTTGCCTTCAGTTTTATAAAATGAATATACATGGCATTATCAATCACGTGAGATACCACACGCACAGTCAATACTCAACAAATGCTTCCGTTGATCCTAGAAAGAATCAAGTCAACTGATTCTCTGAGCTCATCATTCATCTCTCCTAGTTGAGACTTCCTGATTTCTCAGTTATTTTTATGACACATCATCATTTTTACCAGTTTACTCTGGAAGAACAAATTTGCTAAGATTGATTTTAATATTGATGACCTAATAATACCTGCATATGACAAGTAACTATTCACCTCTTCCTCTGAAGGAAAAAAAAACATTTTTATTAATATTATTTAAGGAAAATGAAATAAGAGAGAAGATGAAAAATTAGTATTCTGCCCCTGTTCAGAAGAGGAACCCATAGACCAATGTATCCAAGTTATGGTACTGATCCAGTGATGTGTACCAGTAAGAGGCCTAGGGAGAGCAAGGCTGTATATTTTGTGATATGATTTGGATCTGAAATGAAATTTGAGAATTACTCCAGGCTCACTTTTAAAATCCTTGGTTCCTAGTTGTCTGAGGTATTTTTGGAGGTTCTATAACATTTGGGGAAGGGGAAGAACCTAGCTGGAGGAAGTCCCTACTAGGGGCAGGACTCTTAAGGTAATATTAGGGCCCTGGATCTTGCCTTGGTTCCTGAATCCCAATGCATCATTATGTGAACAAACTTCATTATAGGCTTTGGTCACCATGACCTTCACTGCTGCTCTGTCATTCCTGCTCTGTGGTGATGGACCCAACTCTCTAAAAGAGTGAGCGAAATTAAATCCCTGGTGTTGTTTTTGCCAGGTATTATCACTATGACACAAAAGTAACAAACATCCAACTGGCTGCTGTCTAACCTCAAGTATTAGTGAATGGTTTTTATGTGGGATCAGAAGGCCTTATCTAAATGTTAAACTGTTACATTCAGCTGTACATTGCTTATAGCTTGCATTGGTGGATGAGATGTAGTCAGTAACAGGTCCTAGACCAGCTTGTAACAAAATTTGACTCTGGGATACTTTCATTTATGATACAGATCTTTCACATATGGGTAAAAGCTAAGAGAGAGACAGAAAGACAGTCATGACCTCCTGCCAAACGACCCTAACAATCTTGAATTAATGCTATCCTATACCTCATAAGTACTATACCCTTTTCATTGAATTTTCCTTTAGGGTACTAAGAACTAGTAAGATCCACAAAAATGTCCATCTATTCATCTCTGCATATCACTTGATACTCCATAATAAACCTTGTTTGCATGATTAATTTTGAAAGGGAAGATTATAAAGAGTTATTCTTATAAGAGGTGACTCAAGGCTCAGAACCAAAGAGATGAGATACAAACATGGAAGTAGTGATGGGGAGAAATGATGTTACACTCTTGCCATTGAAGATGAAGGAAAGAGACATGGCAAAAGGTACTTGTATACAGAAGGATCTGGAAGGGGCAAAGTAACTAGTTCTCACTATTTCCATATGAAGCTTGCCTGGCCAACAGGCATACAGGGAGCATAGAGCACTATGAGGGAACACATCTGTGCTATGGCAAACCAATAAAGTCAAGGAAACACACTGGAGGGTACTAAGCTGCTTCTTCTTCTTCAAGAAGAAGACAACATAGCAGGCTTCCTCCTCACCTTTGTCATTTCCTTGAGGAAAGCATCAATGAAGTCTCTTGGCTCCTCAGGGTCCCAGTCTTTCCGGTGATTGTCAATAATATCAGATACAAACAATTTCAGTTTTCTCCAGTTTCTGAAAAGTGTTTGGTGTGATCCAGGAAGATAGTGAATTATCCTTGGAAAGATATTGTAGAGCTGATTGGGAAAAATAAGACAGTCATGGAGACACCATGGTGTCACATTTCAAAAACAGTCTTGTCTTTCTCTTTATTTCTTATAGTGGGAAAGTGAAGCCATCTTGGCTCCTCTTTAACTCTTACTCTGTACCCCCACCCTCCACAGGCATTTCCGTGTTGTAAAGACTTTAACATCCTAAACTGAATCAAAGAAGAGGCTCAAATTACAAGAGGGATGATTAAAAGAGAACAATTAAACCAATTAATTGTACATGATCTTGTTAAAACAGGAACAAAGTAAAACGCATGATGGTAGTAAGGTAGATAACAACTTAGAACTTGTGTGCTAAAGATCTTGCTTTACTTTAGGGAGGGTAAAAATGTTTGTCTGACACCACAAGAAAACCCACAGAATCAACTAACCTGGGCCCATAGGTGCTCACAGAAACTAAAACAGCAACCAGAGTGCTTGACTGACCTAGACCCTCTGCATATGTTACCGTTGTGTAGTGTGGTGTTCTCGTGGGACTCCTAACAGTGGGATCAGGGGCTATCTCTGACTCTGTTGCCTGCTTTTGGAAAACTTTCCTCTTACTGGGTTGCCTCATCCAGCCTTAATATGAGAGGAGGTGCCTAGTCTCACTGCAGCTTGATATGCCATGGCTGGCTGATATACATGGGAGGCTGACCTTTTCTGAAAAGAAAGGAGAAGGAGTGGATGGGGGGAGGCAGGGATAGCAGAGTTTGAGTGGAAGGATTAGGAGAAGAGGAGGAAGGGAGGGGAAACAGTAATCAGGTTGGAAAATATAAAATTAATTTAATAAAAAGTATTTGTCCTAGATGTTGGCTGTTATAAATATCAATTTTATTTGGATTTATTTATCTTATGTATGTCTTGACTCAATATATGTATATTCATCATTTGCATGTCTGGTGCCTGCAAAATCCAGACGAGGGTATTGGATATCCTGAAACTAGAGTTATGGATAGTTGGGAGCCACTGTTTAGATGCTGGAAACTGAACTCCAGTCCTGTGAATGAGCAACTAATACTCGTAACTGCTGGGCCATCTCTCTAGCCCCTACAGCTATCAGATTTTAAGGTAAAGACTAAAGCAATAGAAAAGAGCACCAAGTTTTCTCGATTAATACTTGAAGATGTTCAATGAGGACACTTAATAACTTAAAACATGAGAAAACTCAGATAATTATAAACTACAAAATAATCACAAACTAGTACTCAGAATTTAAGAATATTTATTTCATTTTTAATTATGATCATGAGGTATATGATGAGCTCATGAGTCCAGGTGCCTACAGAAGCCAGAGGCATTGGGTTTCCTGAAGTCACAGGTGTTGTAGCCAGCCAATATGGGAATGGGAGCCAAACAGTCTGTGCTCTTAATTGCCAATCTATCTCTCCAGCCCCCTCATACTTAACACTTTTAATAAAAGGAGATAAGTGTTCCAATAGAAAGACAATGATTATCAAATTTGATACATTTATAGACCAATTTTGGTATAACAAATTTGGCACACTATTCATAGTGCCAATTTGAGAATCTACTGTTAAAAACTGAAATACACAAAGGCCTGAAAACATGAAGCATTCGTGAGTCTGAGCATCCTAAGATGGTCTCTCACTGTATCCCCTTAGTAAGAGAAGGTACAGAGAGATAGTTGTGGACAACAAGACCTAATACAAACAGGCTGGAGTATGGCAGACAGCATAAAGCCAGATCAGGCTGGGAAGTGCTTAAAGAGATTTCCCACACTCAGAGGGCAAGAACAGAGCTCATCAGCTGACAATAACCCTGGAGTTTGGCAGCTCTGAGTCTGAGGTCAGTAGGCAGAACACACTTTACCTATCTTTCACTTTTGTTGTGAAAGAGAACTCCAGAGTTTTAGGGGTACACAGGATACCCACAGGGCACTCCTCCAGAAGGTAATTAGGAGCCTTGAAAGTACAAAGGTCCCTCCCCAGCATATAATGATCTCAGTGCTATGGTTGTTTCTCCAGCTCCCAATGTACCTGGGAGATACCACCTAACTAAAAGAGACACACAGAGGCTAAGACGTGAGGAAACTTGGGAGGGTGAGAGGTTATGCCCACTCCATGGAGAGCAAGCTCAGTGTGGCCAGCAGAGGCTCCTACTATGTAAATAAGAAAAATAGCAGCTAAGGTATGAAGACAATTCTGGTAGACATAAGACTCAGCAGTAGCACAAAACAAAGGACCAACAAAAGCCCGAGTTCACTTGCCCTTCTCCTCCATTATTTAAATTGCAGTCTTCCATTTTTGAGGACCTGCAAAGCAGATCCATCCACTCTTTTTTCTTTTTCTGTGTGATTCATTATTTTCCTACACATTTAGCTGAATTTTTACTTTGTTTTAACTTAAAAACTTTAAATTAAAATAATTTTACATTCATTTATTCATGTGCACATTTATTTGTGTGTGGGGGTGTGTCCTATGTTCATGGTACCTTTGTGGAGGTCAGAGGACAACTTGAGGGACACGGCTCTGTTCTTCCACCCTGTGAACTCCCAGGATGAAACTCACCTTGTCAGGCTTTGCAGGAAGCCCCTTCTTTGGCTGAGACATCTTACTCACCACACTTACCTAGTTATGTTTATGCCTCTCCTTATTTTTAGAAATAGTATTTCTTTTCTTTGGTTTATTCATTTATTTGCCTTCTGTGACCTCTTTTATATTTATAGCTTGAATTTATCTTACTGGCTTTTAAAAATAATACAATTAAAATGTTATTCCTCTCTCTCTCTCTCTCTCTCTCTCTCTCTCTCTCTCTCT